AAACAGTAGATGTCAAATATTGTTACTCAAATGCGTTCATGAATTCTTTGGGGAAAAAAGTGGATTTCCAGCCCTCCATTATCTAAATCCACTCCTAAATGTGTATTGACATCAGAAAGAGGGGGTGTGAGAGCAATAATATGATTAACATAATAAATAAATTACATTTTCATTTCTCGCTCTGATCTACACCATACTCAGCTACATCTACATATTAAAACAATATGTACCATATGAAAGTCATCAGTGACATTCATGTTTCAGAAATTACACTTCAGCTGTCGCTGAAAGCAGGACCTTCACCCACTTCCATCTGGATGTTTAGCAAGAACAAGCTTTACAAACAACCCAGTAAATTTAAAATGAATGGTCATACCAATAATAAACTTCCTCTTTTTGTCTTAGAAGACAATATCTACATTTAACCACTTTGAACATCATTAGCATCTCTTGAGATGTGTTCTAGCTCAGTCTTACAAACTCAAGTTGGAAAACAAGAAACCCATCATTTCTATACAAATATTATTCACCACCTAAAAATGTTAGACTATACGAATCAGAAATACAATACCAAATAGAATGATCCATGTGTTCCAATGCTCAGTAGCTATCATCAGCATTTTCTCCAAAATTTACTATAATCAGAGAGTATAAAAATTAAAAAATTCTAAATTCACAAGAAAACCCAATTACTATAAAAATAATCACATCACAATCTGTTTTCCAAATATATGTGTTCAGTGGCACTGAATTCAATCAAACTGGCACTAGATCTTTAAGGCAACCTAATTTCTTTGTGTATTTTAATGGATCTTGGAATGAATTTGTCATACTCCATTTTACGGATTTATTATGGAGTGTAAGTAGTTTATGGGTCTGATGCTGACACACAGAATTGTATGGCACAGTGTCACCATATTGTTGCCAAGTCCTTTGCCTCATATTCTCTTCTGCTTTGTGATTGAGGCGTCTCTCAATATTACAACAATAGACAACTGAAAGCTATGAGGAAATGAAATACCTTGGAAGTGGAATATGTTTCGTTTCAGGAGCAAGGGGAGGGTCAGGATATGGGACATCTCTAAGGAAAGAGAGAACTGTTCCCCTCTCTCCAGCTTTTCCTTCCTTGTGGTACTGTTCTTCCCCTGCTATTTTTCATATACAAGAAAGAGAGGAAATGAACTGGCTTCCCTTCTTTCCTTGAAAACTTCCCTCATCTTCTAGTTGGCCTTCCCTTAGTGCCCCCACTAGATGACAGCATCCTCTCTCTCCCATCCCACCACAACTCCATCTGCTGCCCATCTCTCCAGCAGAAGCAGAAGTCTACAGAGGGAGAAGGAAGTTCTTCTGAAGCTGAAAAGTCTTTTATATCCCCAGAAGGGGGCCACAATGGAAAGACAGGAAAGGATGCATAGACCTGTCTCCTCTCTTCCTCATTGCTTTATTTTATATCCACCAATGAAAGAATGAAGTTAACAAAGTAGTGACATAGTGGAGGATGTGGTTGAGAAAAGAATCAAACAGTGCATGTCAGCTCAAAAGAATGGGAGAGACATCAGGGGGAAGGAACAGAGTAGCATTGCATGTGAGGAAAAATACTATGGGATATGAAGAAAATTGCTAGGAGTGTTATTATTTATAATGCAGTAACCTCCAACAGCTGCAGTTGGGATCATGGTTCCATTATACTACACATTGTACAGATAGAAAGATATGGTCCCTGTCCCAAAGAATTTACCATCTTATATAAGGGTGGGCAGGGGGGAATATTAAGGGAAGAGATAAGGTATGTGAGTGTTGGAGATATTGGTGGTGAACAAGAGTAACCGGACATGGCAGGGGGAGAGCTCTTGGCCAAAGATACCAGTAGTTTTCCGTGGTTAGGAAATATTAATGATGTCATGGAGAGACCAGGATTGCATGGGGAGAGATACTGATGAAAGGAGGAAGACCAGGAATGTGCACTGGGAGAGAGAGCATGAGAAATTTACACTAGGAGGCTGTGTATGGTGGGGCAAACTCTCATTGATGGAGAGGGAGAGTATTGTACTTGGATCAATGGGGAGATCTTCTGGTAGGGAGAAACCCAGATTATGTGTGTGGGAGGAGTGAACTTGGGTATGAAGAGAGAGACCTGTATTCTGGAAGGGGAGGGAGGGAGATCCTGGAGGAACAGAGCAAGAGGCAAGACTGTTCAGGGGAAACCAGGAGAGAGAGAGAGAGAGAGAGAAACAGAGAGAGAGAGAGAGAGAGAGAGAGAGAGAGAGAGAGAGATCGGAACATGGACTCTGTCATGGTGAAGGAGAGTGAGGGGATGGGCACACTGATAATGTATCTGGGAAGAGATTTTTTGTGCATGAGACCAGGTGTGTTATAGGAGATCTTGGATGAAACAGAATTGGTATGAGGTACAAATGTGTTTGGGGTTGGGGAGATATGGTACAGGGACAGGAGTGTATCTGAGGGTGATTTCTTCACTGTGGGGAGGTAGCAGTAACACGTGTCAGTGTGTGCCAGCTAGAGGAACAAGAGTTTTTGACAGAAAAAAGGGGGTATATGTGAAAGAGTGAGGAAAAAAAGATGTTGAGGATCATATTTCTGCTAGAAAACAAGAGCTCAGGGAATAATAGTGTGTGGGTGAGAGAGTCTGGAAACAGGAACGAACGGTCTGTATGGTCTGTGTGTGCAGCAGAAAGTTCAGAAAGCTGAACAGACGGGAGGGAGGCAAGTGAGGAGTATGAACAGATAATAAAATGAGCAAGAGAAAAAAGAGAGGAAGGTGAAGGATTAGAGTAGATGGGACAAACGAGAAAAAAGTATAATACAGTACTGAAAAAAGAAACCAACGTGGAAATGATGCACAAAAGGATGCATCAAGATACACCATGAAAAGAAAAAATAAGTGAGGAAAAATAGGCACAAAGGAGACATAGTAACAAATATTTCTAAAGGAAAGCATAATGTAAAAAATTAAAAACTGAGAAAGTGGGATGGATTAGAATAGGGGCTGGAAATGAGGAGGCATACACTGAAATCTCATTATGGCAGAAAAATTCCTAGGGCTAGCCCACCTTGGGAAGCTATTTGGTTTAATTCATTTTGATACATTTAAAAAAAAATTCCCCTTCTTGGTTCTCCCCACCCTCCAACTTTATTGGCACCTAAATAACATTTAATTGGCCATTTCTAGTTACCAGCACTTAGTTATGCTTAAATGAGAAAGAGACCCGTTTTGTGGCTAAATATTTGAGGAGGAAATATATAACACATCAAGTTTCCCTCCCCTCTGCCCCTACGTTAGAACCTCTTTCATTCATTCTTTCTCTTTGTTAAAAAAAAAACAACAACAAAGACTGCAAGACATCTGAAGTCGAAGGTATCCCTACAGCTGTCTGGGTATTATATACCCTAGTTCCTTGTATTATGCCACTGGTGTGTGTTGAGGGATTCGTTTCTTCCCTAGGCGAGAGGCATATGCCCCCGGCACAATGATGTGGTTTAGCGCTGGGGCTGCCGAGGATAACGGGATTCTCAGGCTAACAGGCATCCGTCAGACAAGGGAAACTCAAACCCGAGAGCTGGCTGCTGCAGGAAAGCAAAGCCAGCGTGCATTTGTGCCCTGCCAGCTCCCGAGACATGGCTGGGGAGCTGTTTTACTGAATCAACCTAAATACTGGGGGAAATAGGCTACTGAAGGAAGAGGAGGAGGAGGCAGGAAACACACAAACACACACACACCCCAGGCTGATCTTACCTCCACATTGAAATACTGCTCCGCCGTGCACACCGGGGCACATAAAATCCAAAGCAAGGTTTGCAAGAAAAACACCCTGGCCTGATGTACGAAATCCAACCGGCTTCCAGTGCTGAAGGCGAGTAAGATCATACTGAACTGCGCCTCAGTGGATGGAAGAGCCCTCTTCTCCCTCCGCTCTCGTGCCTTCCCCTCGCGCGCGCACACAAGCCCCGGTGTTGGGGAAGAACTCTGCAGGCAGGTTCACCCACAACAGGGGAGGAGGAGGAGGAGAAACTGAGACTTCACTCCACCACACACAGCAGCAGCAGCAGCAGCAGGGTCAGCTCTTACTCATCCTCAGTCCCGTAAGGAGGGAATGTGGCGTCCAAGTACAGCTGCAGCTCCTGCTGGGCTTTTCCCTTTGCACAGCAGCCGCCTCTGTGTCCTCCTCCCCCTCCCCCTCCTGCTCGGAAAGGCCTTTGCTGCCTGGCTGCCTGTGCTCCCCTGCCCTGCCTGTGCTGGTGCCTCTCCTCGCTCTTCTCTCCTCCACTCCAGAATGTTCAGCTGTAATCTACATAACTCCGCCTCCAGAGTCAGCCTGCTCCCAGGCATCTTAAAGGAGACAGTCCTGCAAGGCTATTGTCTGTCTGTGCTGGAAGGGACCTGACCCCCCCTCCACGGCAGGAGCGCTCTCACAAGGGGAGTGGGGTCAGTGAGTTTAACACACACACACGCACACACACACACTGCTTAATCCCTAGTTAGGAGCTCTCCTCCCCAATGAAAATTGAAAAATCTGTAAATTCCGTTAGCTCCTCAATTACACCTATTCATAGAAATGTGTTGGAACCCGTTTCTTCCTTTTCATAAACTGCCCTTTCTTGCCAAATGAGCTGTGTCACCAAGTTGTATGGGCAGGACAACCTCAATCTTCTATGTACTGCCTAGCTCTCTCCCTCATATTAATGCTTCTATTCAACATTCCATATGCATCTTTGATATAAAGTTATGCATTCCCTCATGTCCACTTTTAATATAATTATATATATCCCTTATACTATCTTTACACAACCTTCTTTATAAACCTTCACAAGACAATTGTGGATACACATCACTATGCAAAACCTCAAAACCACATTCACATAGTTAAACTAGCTAGATTTTTTTAAATGAGATCACAAGTTTGGTTAATAAAGTATCTCTTGCAACAATAGACTTAGATTTCTGTAAGGCATTTGACAGTGCCTCTCATTAATAAATTAGTATTATAGAAAAGCCATATGGTGCATATTACATGGGTTAAAAATTGGATATGGCTCAGTGATCAGGTCCCATTGCAACAGTACGGCCAAAAGGGTCTTTGGTTGCATGCATGAGTGGATCTTCATTAGAAGTAAATAAGTTATTTCATCTTCGCATTTGGCACACACGCAACAACTGCTGGAATACAGTACTGTGTCCAGTTAAATTCAAGACAGATAAGCTAAAAAAATTCAGACTGAAAATAAGGTGTAACACACACTTGCTGGGTGTGGTTCACTATCAGATGTAGTAGCACTTAGACCTCTTGGAGAGAGAGAGAATGAGCTTGCTCTACAGTCTAACTGAGAGCCAGCTGGCTTTCAGCTCAAGCTGTAGGGGCTCATGCACTAAGTAAGCTCCAGAAATCCCAGGTTTGGTTTCACCTATTGGCATTACAACAGTATGAAATTTTAACAGAAAGAGTAGTTGACCATAGGAACAGATTGCCAAGGATCATGTTGAATTCTCCATAGTGCCAAATTTTTAAATGAACATTGGATTTTTTTGAAATATATACTACAGGAATTATTTTGGGGAAGCCTGCGTCAAGCTCGCCAACAGGAGGGGGGAGAAAGGGCAACCATCCAGGGGCCCAGCAATTCAAAAGGACCAGAGATTTCTGCCTGCCATTGCAGCAATGGCAAACAGAGCCCTGGGCTCTTTAAATTGTGGCCAATGCACCATGCAGTTTGCACTAGGCAACGCTGAGAGCTGCTAGTCCCCAATGATGCCCCATCTGCCCAAGGTCCCACCCCTTCCAGGGAGCACAGAGCCAGCCACCCCACACACTTTGCCCTGGGGCACAGCAAAGTCTGCATGCCCCAGTCTACATGATCACACTGTCCCTTTCTGGCCTTGGAATCTGTGATAGAGATCAGAATGTAAATGTTAATGGGAAACACTCATTAAATGGGATGTATCTCGTGGAGTCCCACAAGAATATGTTATTGTTCTAATGCTGTTTATTATCCTTATCAGTATGTGACAGACTGACAATATCCTGTAATATCCAGAACAAACTTTATGAGATGAAGATAAAGTTTATTAATTAATCATTATAGACCTAGGGTTCAAAAACTGGAATGATTTAAACTAGGAGTGCATGAGCATGTATGTGTGTTTGGGAAGAAGAGACTCAGGAGTGCGTAGGGTAAAGGAAATGTTCAAAGGGAGAGAAACACTGTCAAGGAGAACAAATACTAGAAGTGTGTTGTGGAGAATGATCACAAATATATATGAAAAAAAGACAACCCTCCCAAAACAAATAAAAATCTATAAACAAAAAAAAGCACTTGGCCACACATACTTTTTCTCATGAGGAGAGGGCAAAACACCAAACACATAACAGCTGTTAGTCATGCTGTTCATAGGCACTGACTTCTCGTTTTGCTAGGGGTTGCTCAACCTGCCCCCTGCTCCAGACTCCATCTCCTCCCCATTCCTTCCCCCAAAACTCCTGCCCTGCCTCTTCCCCACCTCTTCCCCCAAGTGCACCCATTCCCCAGTCCTACCCTCTTCCTCATAAAGCTTGAATGCCACAAATCAGCTGTTTGCTGAAGCACTGGGAGGGAGGAGGAGTTGGTAAGCATAGGTCCACCAGTGCACAAGAGGTGCAGGGGGAGGGATGAGAGGGTGGAAGCTCCATAACCACTAATTTTTTTTCATGTGTGCTCCAGTGCTAAACACCCACTGAGTCAGCACCTATGATACTGCTTAATTCACTACTGGAAGGTACTCAGATACTACAATGATAAGCACAGAATAAAAACCGATATACAACAGAATAGGGCAAACTAGGGACAGGAATGTGTTTGTGTGTCTCACAGGAAATGTGGAGCCATAAGGAAATAGGGTACAAGACTTTGTGTCACAGCAGGAGGCAAGAGAGAATGTGTGTGTATATAAAAGAGACTGGGGACAGCAGTGTATTTGTGTGCCCCTGTGACAGAGAGAGATCTATCTTGCCTGGGTTGGGTTTTCACCACATTCTCTTTATCCATATGAGGATCTCAGCAAGCACCAAGATCGTTGGGTTATAGTGATGTTTCCATCTAATGTCCAAAAGCTGTAGAACAAAGTATTGATGTGGAGACTTCAGCTGTGTTCTCACCAGCTCCACCAAGGGTTCATAGAGAAGATGAGGGTTTTATAGGGAAAGGAACTAATGCTATTATGACCCTGTAATGTGATCAGAGAGGAACAACTCACGTTATTTCAGGGTTTTAAAGCTTCATTCAGAAACTGGCTGAGGTTCCAATTCAGCCAGACTCCTTCTGTGACATTAGGATAAGAGACTTGCCCATGCCAGGCCTGACTTCCCCATCTGCAGAATGGAGGGAGGATTTCTCTATCTCACTGTGGAATCTCAGTCTAAAATCCATCAGTAGCTTTAAGGTTCTTATCGTGATTTCAGTAGCTAATAAAGGTGTTTCCCCCCAGCTTCTGGGAGGCAGGAAGAAGAAAGAAATGGCTATAAAATGCTGACAATTAGGACGAAGGAAAATTACACTACAAAAGATGGAGGAAAAGATACATTAAGAAAGGAGAAATTTCTAAAAAAAAAAGTAGCAACATTAGTAAAAAGTAATTATTTCATGAAACCATGTTTTAAAAATTACTTCATGACATGTTTTAAAACTACCATATAAAAAAATTATTAAATTGGAATAGGCATGTGAACAGGTAACCGATTAACCGGTTACCCAGTAAGCATCTCCCCTACCAGTTAATTGATGCCCAAGAGCATCCCCCTGCCCATGGCCTCATGCTGCAGGGAGCAGGGATCCAGGAGACTGAAACTGCATGCAGGATGGGGAGCTGGAGCCCTTTGGGCTAGCAGACCTCCCCTTCTCCCCTCCCCTGAGATCCTGTTTAGCCAGTTAACTGGTTAAACCTAAAAATGTTTAACCAATTAACTGATTAAACGGGATTTTACATCCCAAGAATGGAGTTAGAAATGGAGTGAGGCAATGAAATCCCACTGGTGCATTCACATTTCTAAGTCAGCTGCTACAGCCCCGTCAGTCTGTGTATCCTCCCAATTAATAATGTTTTCTAAATTTTAAAACATAATTATTCATCTTGGTTCCTGTTTCTTCCCCCTGTGATCTCCACTCCTCAGCTTTTTGTTATGTAGAGTTTTACCTCTAAAATTAGGCACTGTTAACACAGGAGATACTCCTTTAAACATCAGCTCTACCAGAAATTTCTCCACATTCAGGTCTTCAAATCAAGGGCTCTTTATGCCTGAGCACTCACAAATGAACCAGATGGCACTAGGATTGTGGCACTGATTATTCACTGAGCTTGCGGTAATGCTGTAATGCCAGTTCAATAATTATTGTAAGATCTTAATACTTTGATATCATCTCTAATTTATGTGAAGCTCCGTAAGGATGAGAGAGATATTATTAAAAAGCTAAAGAAAGAAACAAATAGAAATAAGTCATGCTCAGTAGCAACAGGCAACTTGCACAAAACCTCTGAAACAAATGGGTCTAAGAGGATATTCCTGCAGATCAGAACAATTTGTGAAGGCACAAAAACTCCTACAACTTTTCTAAGAGCATCAACAGATTTCTGAGAAGATACCAGTTGGTCAAGAAAGACACACATGGGAAGCAACTGAAGATAAAAACAAAGGCTACGTCTAGACTGGCATGATTTTCCGGAAATGCTTTTAACGGAAAAGTTTTCCATTAAAAGCATTTTTAGAACAGAGCGTCTAGATTGGCATGGACGCTTTTCCGAAAAAGCATTTTTTGCGGAAAAGCGTCCGTGCCAATCTAGACGCGCTTTTCCGCAAAAAAACCCCAATCGCCATTTTCGCGATCCGGGCTTTTTTGCGGAAAACAAATCTGGGCTGTCTATACTGGCCCTTTTGCCTGAACAGGAGCAGCATAGTATTTATGCAAGAACACTGACAATCTTACATGAGATCGTCAGTGCTTTTGAGGAAATTCAAGCGGCCAGTGTAGACAGCTGGCAAGTTTTTCCAGAAAAGTGGCTGATTTTCTGGAAAAACTGGCCAGTCTAGACACAGCCAAAAGATATATTTCAGGGACAAGAGGAAGACCCTTGTGAGTGAAGCTGCTCCTAAATCCTGAGGCTCGTTTCCTGCATTTTGTTGGATTCAGGTGCAGAGGAATGGAAATTCTGCAGCAGTTTAATTTAAATTTTAAAATTGTGGTTGTTTTTAATTGATGAAATAAAAAGGAAAACATGAA